CTTTCGGAGATTATCTGTCTAATAAAAATCCGGGACGGCAGACGGACAGACGGACAGACGGACAGACAGACGGAAATGGGAGACCTATTTCTTCGTCTTCTAGGGGTCATGAAAGATCGAGAAAACGTAAAAGTAGAGAGTCGGCCGACGGACTCGATTACAATACTTCCTTTGCTTACGCTCGGGAAGTAAAAATTGTACAATTAAAATTTTTTATTTGCATTCGCGGCATGTGTAATTCATATAAATCTTTTGCCCTTCTAATATAAACACACACAGGAATAAATAGTAATATTGGAATAAGTTTACTGGAGATATCACGTAAAAACGTGCCTATAATACTCTACCTCATAGGTGGTGCGGAAAAGAGTATCAAAAAATTGGTCTAAAGCGTTTAGACAGTACTTCCCTCGCTGTCGGAAACGTGACGACTGCATGTCTATTATGTTTTTTTTTCGCAGTAGATTTGTTTTTTTTTTGAGTCACCCGGTATATGCAAATTCAAAAAATATGAATGCAATGATAAATTACAAGTACAGACTCATCATATTTTGTATATTCTAGATAGGAGTTATTCGGCAAACTTTTGAGCTGACGTCATCAGTTTTTTGTAGAAGATAATCAAATATATTTTGACTAAAAATTTATTATGCTCTTTATAACCTTAAAACATTTGCAAGATTTCAAAACATTCGGTTCTAGAGTTCCTGAATAAATCAATAAAATACATTTACTCATTCATTAATTTTTTTGGGTCACCTGTATATGCAGATCCAAAAACTATGAATGGAATGATAAATCACAAGAAAAGACTCATCATATTTTGTACATTTTAGATAGGATTTATTTAGCAAAATTTTGTGGTGACGTCATAAATTTTTTAGGGGGGATAAGCAAATACATTTTGATCAAAAACTTACCATGCTTATGATAACTTTAAAACACCTTCAAGATTTCAAAGCATTCGGTTTTGTAGTTCCTGAGTAAATCAATAAAATAAATTTACGCATTCATTAATTTTTTTGAGTCACCCTGTATATGCAAATCCAAAAAATATGAATGGAGTGATAAATTACAAGTACAGGCTCATCATATTTTGTACAGTTTAGATAGGATTTATTCGGCAAACTTTCGAGCTGACGTTATCAATTTTTTGGAGGGGATAAGCAAAAATAAGTAAAGATTTATGATGCTCTTTATAGCCTTAAAACATCTGCAACATTTCAAAAGATTCGGATTAGCAGATTCAAAATTAAATTGCAAAATGTTGTTTTATAATTTTGATTTTTTTTCCAAAAATCTGGACGTTTCGGGTAAAAACTCAATTCGGAGCCGTAAACTACATCTTAGGACTATATTATTTTATACAATTTAAAACCCATTTACTGTGTACAATTTTGAAGTGACGTCATCACATTAGTGGTGGGGATGATTAGACAAATTTTGGTTAGCGTTTTACCATCTACATGATATTCCTAATATAACTACAAAATTTCACAACAATCGGTCCAGTACTTTCGGAGATTATCTGTCTAATAAAAATCCGGGACGCAGACAGACGGACGTACAGCACTGCTGGTGTTAATCCTGTATGGCCCCTTTGAATGAAGTCCAAATTTCCTCGTTCCCCTCTCTGCCTTCTCACACGGATTCATTCATCTGATTTTCATAAGCAGAACCTGGACTTGTCGCTGAAGACGACACTGTTTCATTCATGCTCCCAGTGCGGTCTATCGTTACACCATTATCGTCCAGTGTGATGTGTGATGATTATTGCAGGACAAATTAAACAGAATAAATACACAAATTGGTCCATTTATTGGTGCTGGGTGCAGCACGTGAATCCCTCCACAAAACTCCTGGTCGTAGTGCGCGACCCCGTCACACGAGTCATCTCCGACTACACTCAGGCCGTATCCAAGAACCCCGAGATGAATCCCTTCGAACAGCTCGTCTTCCTTAACACCTCCATCGGCAGCATCGTGTCAAGTCCTAGGGGCCCATCAAGCTAGGGATTTACTCGCGCTAATTGAAATGATTTTATTCAGTGTGATGATTATTATATTCATAGCACAAATTAAACGGAATAAATACGTAAATTGCGCAATATATTTTACGAGTCTTTTGCTGGTGTCGAGATTTTAGTAAGTTTTTATTACATCTTCTACTGAGATTAGATGACAAAGCGAGGGCATGCTTATTCTTCGATAATCAATTTAATCAGTAAGTAATAACTTTCATGACAATGTTGTAAAATGCATCTACATACACATTTGTTCATTTTTCACGAGCAACAACTTCATAAAATATTTTTTTAGATTTGCATATACAGGGTGACTCAAAAAAATTAATGACTGCCTGAATATATTTTATTTATTTAATCAGAAACTACAAAACCGAATGTTTTGGAATCTTGGAGATGTTTTACAGTTATCATAAGCATGGCAAATTTTTAAATAAAATGTACTTGCCTATTTCCTCTATAAAATTGTCACCCCAAAATTTTGCTGAGTATCAAAAATGTACAAAATATGATGAGTCTGTACTTGTCAGTTATCATTCCATTCATATTTTTACTTCCCGAGCGTAAGCAAAGGAAGTATTGTAATCGAGTCCGTCGGCCGACTCTCTACTTTTACGTTTTCTCGATCTTTCATGACCCCTAGAAGACGAAGAAATAGGTCTCCCATTTCCGTCTGTCTGTCCGTCTGTCCGTCTGTCCGTCTGTCCGTCCGTCTGTCCGTCTGTCCGTCCGTCTGTCCGTCTGTCCGTCCGTCTGTCCGTCTTTCCGTCCGTCTGTCCGTCTGTTGTCCCGGATTTTTATTAGACAGATAATCTCCGAAAGTACTCGACCGATTGTTGTGAAATTTTGTACTTATATTAAGAATATCATGTAGATGGTAAAACGCTAACCAAAATTTGTCTAATCATCCCCACCACTAATGCGATGACGTCACTTCAAAATTGTACATAGTAAATGGGTTTTCAATTGTATAAAATAACATAGTCCTACACATGTAGTTTACAACTCCGAATCGACTTTTCACCCGAAACGTCCAGATTTTTGGAAAAAAAATCAAAATTATAAAACAACATTTTGAAATTTAATTTTTAATCTGCTAACCAGAATGCTTTGAAATGTTGCAGATGTTTTAAGGCTATAAAGAGCATCATAAATCTTTAGTCAAAAAATATTTGCTTCCCCCTCCAAAAACTTGATGACGTCAGCTCAAAAGTTTGCCGAATAAATCTTATCTAAACTGTACAAAATATGATGAGTCTGTACTTGTAATTTATCACTCCATTCATATTTTTTGGATTTGCATATACAGGGTGACTCAAAAAAATTAATGAATGCGTAAATTTATTTTTTCGATTTAATCATGAACTGCAAAACCGAATGCTTTGAAATCTTGCAGATGTTTTAAGGTTATAAAGAGCATAATAAATGTTTAGTCAAAATACATTTGCTTATCCCCTCCAAAAAATTGATGACGTCAGCTCGAAAGTTTGCCGAATAAATCATATCTAAAATGTACAAAATATGATGAGTCTGTACTTGTGATCTATCACTCCATTCATATTTTTTGGATTTGCATATACAGGGTGACTCAAAAAAATTAATGAATGCGTAAATTTATTTTACTGATTTACTCAGAAACAACAAAACCGAATTCTTTGAAATCCACTGCGAAAAAAAAAACATAATAGGCATGCAGTCGTCACGTTTCCGACAGCGAGGGAAGTACTGTCGAAACTCTTTAGACCAATTTTTTAGATTTGCTTAACAGGTAGCTCAAAAAAATTAATGAATTTGTCAATTTATTTTATTGATTAAATCAGGAATAGTTCACTCCATTTTTCCGACATTGGAGATACAATACTGTTGTTATTAATATTACATTGCACCAACCCAATTTGGTTGGCACAAAATATTGTAAAGTAAAAACTCGTTTGAAACATAGGCGTAGCACACTTATCTACATTTACTTTAACATTACAGACGTGCATTTGTTTTGTTGCACTGACTAGGTTCCGTGAATGTGGTATAGACAAGTTATAATCAACGAATTGTGAATTATAAAAAAAAGGTCTGGGCGAGCATCGGTATAGTTTACAGTTTCTCTGTTTGACTTTTACGTGTATAATCTCAACAAGTGATACGGCTTGTTGTCTTAAATTAAGAATGCTTATCATAAATGATTTTGAGTCGCCTCTGCTAATACATGCAGCATACGACAGTAAACTGTTTCGTTATTTTACTTATTATAAATCAATATTCAAGACGACCCAATTCATTTTCCCCAAAAATTTGGGAATACAGAACTTTTATTTTTAGTATTACACTACATCTATTCAAACTGACGTAGATGTCGTTGCAAAAATGTTGATAATGTCATCGCAAATTTTTTTTAAATTGCCCCGCTACAAAAATGTCCTGTATTTGTTTTTTATTGATCAGATTAAGAACTTCATTTTCTAAAAAATGTGAGAATACCCTCGTTTTAATTAACCATGATTAAATACGAATGGCCTAATTATTCATTTTAGTCCTCTGTTTTCAGGACACCACTCATTCAAATCAAACAAATTTCTACGTGACAATCTTTCCATGTGTAAACATAAACAAACGAGGTTAAGCATGTACACTGATAATATTTTTTCCGTTTGTTATTTGTTTTGAATATATTTCATTTTGTGCTTGGAATTTACAACCGCACGGCGCAAACGAGGTGTCATTTACACCACTGGCTTTTAGTGTATAAAAGTTATCAGAAAACAAAAATTTTGTATAATTTTTCAAAGAAGCGGGATTTGTTAGACTGTACTTTAAGGGCGAGGGAAGTTCTGTCGAAGTAACCTTGCACCAATTTTTTTTAAATAGCTTCAGAACCCCAAAGCTCTTTCTGTTCACAAGTAAATTGCTATACTGCGCTGCTAGTATTAACTTGCTTTATGGTAATACGACTTCTGTATAATTTATTTTGTTTTTTTTCCAGATCACCGGATAATTTGGTCCCAGAAGCCCCAAAATGTATTCAGCCGAATAAGAAATTTTCCTTTAATAGGATTAACTGGGAATTGTATTAGATACAAATATTTATCTTTAATAAATTAATGAAAATAAGTTTTTTGTTGTTGATTTCATGTGATTGTACAATTCTAATTTTTAAAGGAAGGCACTAGCTCACTAGAAAAAGTGTAAAATAATACTGTGGTTTTAGATTAATAGACGGAATACTTGAAAAAATGAGAAACAGTCTTACCAATATTTTGATTTAAATTAAAGGGGTAGTGAAATGGTTAAGACATATTAACTTAAAAGATATTAAAAAATGTTGCTTTTTGAAATGTAAACGACTTGTTTCTAATTTTATAAATAACTTCGAAATCAAACAGAAAATGCGAGCACGGGGTGACGTCATTCGTGGTTGCATCTCGGGCGGTCTTATGCACATAAACGTGTTATTCATCGTGAATAGTGTATGATTGTCGCTTGTCGCTTAAAATAAAAAATACCTCAATGCTGTGCTTACGGATGAGAAGTTAGGTATATAATACGGCTTCTAGACCCAGCTCAAATGAGGTCAAACTGGTCCAGCAGCCCCATTGCTTTTTACCGTTAGACCATTGACCTCTGAGGTCTGCATGTGTCGTCCCGAAAAAATAATAAAAACATTTTTACTTCCCGAGCGTAAGCAAAGGAAGTATTGTAATCGAGTCCGTCGGCCGACTCTCTACTTTTACGTTTTCTCGATCTTTCATGACCCCTAGAAGACGAAGAAATAGGTCTCCCATTTCCGTCTGTCTGTCCGTCTGTCCGTCCGTCTGTCCGTCTGTCCGTCTGTTGTCACGGATTTTTATTAGACAGATAATCTCCGAAAGTACTCGACCGATTGTTGTGAAATTTTGTACTTATATTAAGAATATCATGTAGATGGTAAAACGCTAACCAAAATTTGTCGAATCATCCCCACCACTAAAGCGATGACGTCACTTCAAAATTGTACATAGTAAATGGGTTTTCAATTGTATAAAATAACATAGTCCTACACATGTAGTTTACAACTCTGAATCGACTTTTCACCCGAAACGTCCAGATTTTTGGAAAAAAAATCAAAATTATAAAACAACATTTTGAAATTTAATTTTTAATCTGCTAACCAGAATGCTTTGAAATGTTGCAGATGTTTTAAGGCTATAAAGAGCATCATAAATCTTTAGTCAAAAAATATTTGCTTATCCCCTCCAAAAACTTGATGACGTCAGTTCAAAAGTTTGTGGAATAAATCATATCTAAAATGTACAAAATATGATGAGTCTGTACTTGTGATCTATCACTCCATTCATATTTTTTGGATTTGCATATACAGGGTGACTCAAAAAAATTAATGAATGCGTAAATATATTTTATTGATTTAATCAGGAACTACAAAACCGAATGCTCTGAAATCTTGCAGATGTTTTAAGGTCATAAAGAGCATAATAAATGTTTAGTCAAAATATATTTGCTTATCCCCTCCAAAAACTTGATGACGTCAGCTCGAAAGTTTGCCGAATAAATCATATCTAAAATGTACAAAATATGATGAGCCTGTACTTGTCATTTATCACTCCATTCATATTTTTTGGATTTGCATATACAGAGTGACTCAAAAAAATTAATGAATGCGTAAATTTATTTTATTGATTTAATCAGGAACTACAAAACCGAATGCTTTGAAATCTTGCAGATGTTTTAAGGTTATAAAGAGCATAATAAATTTTTAGTCAAAATATATTTGGTTATCTTCTACAAAAAACTGATGACGTCAGCTCAAAAGTTTTCCGAATAAATCGTATCTAAAATGTACAAAATATGATGAGTCTGTACTTGTGATTTATCATTCCAGTCATATTTTTGGATTTGCATATGCAGGGTGACTCAAAAAAATTAATGAAGGCGTGAATTTATTTTATCGATTTAATCAGGAATTACAAAACCGAATGCTTTGAAATCTTGGGAATATTTTAAAGTTATTATAAGCATGGTAAACTTTTGTTCAAAATGTATTTGTTCATCCCTCCTAAAAAAATTGATGACGTCACCCTTAAATTTTGCTGAATAATTCCTATCTAAAATGCAAAAAATATGATGAGTTTGTACTTGTGATTTATCATTCCATTCATATTTTTTAGATTTCCTTAAGAGGTGGTTCAAAAGAATTAATGAAGTCAATTTATTTTATTGATTAAATTAAAGGCAACACTTATTATTAGTATTACACCCCAACCAACCCAATTTGGTAGACACAAAATTTGTTAAAGGAAAAACTCGGTTGAAACATAAGGGTAGCACGCTTATTTACATCGACTTTAACATTACAGACCTGCATTTGTTTTATGCGTTCACTTGATTCCGCGAATGTGAAATAGACATGTTTATAATCAACCAATTGTGAATTTCACCGTCAAGATTTAAAATAAAACCCAATGTTTTATATAATAAGCGGAAGTCGAAGCAATAAAACCGACGGTCGTTTTGTTTACAGTTTCTCTGTTTGGCTCTCACGTATGCTGTTACGCCTGTCATCTTAAATTAACAATGTTTATACATACACGATTTTCAGTTGCCTCTGATACGTAGGTATACGTGAGTAAATTGTTTCGTTATTTTATTGATTATTACAAATCAATATTCAAACGACCCAATTCATTTTCCCGAAAATTTGAGAATATAATAATTTTATTCTTAGTATTACACTACATCTATCCCAACTGATATACGTGTCCTTGCAAAAATGTTGATGACGTCATCGCATTTTTTTTTTAATTCCCACTACAAAAATGTAATGAGAAAAAAAACACAATAGGCATGCAGTCCTCAAGTTTCCGACAGCGAGGGAAGTACTGTCTAAACTCTTTAGACCAATTTTTATGATGTAGATTACGAAAAAAACGTAATTTTATAGAAGTAAAATTGGCAACACTGCACACACCTAATGCGGGAATACTCCTGGCCTGCTTTCTGGTTTCTTAGTAACGATGCTGGGTGAAATCCACCTTTGCTTTTTATCAGACAAACATTGTTATTACAAAAACAACACACCATATTTTTGTGCATTCTAACTGAAATGGTAATTAAACATGGCCATGGGCGAGAGAAATACTAACTAAAAGTTTTATTACTAGTTATTGTGATAATGAATGTGTAGTTTAGTTGTTAAACGTAGCAAAAAAAAAACAATTTTAAACTAATTGTAACTCCACCAAAACATGAGAAGAATTTTTTTTACTATTTTTCCTAGACTCACCAGTTGATTGTCAAGAGGTAACCTAACTCCCGTCAGGTCCGACCATAAACTTAATCTCTAACCCGAATTCCCGTCAACGCTATATTTTACCTGCGTAGGGTCGCATGAATTCCCGTCAGCATTCAGATCTTACGTATAGTAGCCCAAAAGCTATAAGGTTATATGATCATCATAAAAGTAGTTGACCGCAAATAAATACCCCCTTTGTGTGGTTTGCACTAAGTTTACGGGTTGGCAATAAATCGTCTTCTAAACATTTCTTGCTCACATTTTACAGGGCCAGCTTTCAAAGCGACTGGTTATTTTGGAACTCTTTGTGGCTGCAGGAAATAGTAGTAGGTAGTTAGATATTTAGTGAAAGTCACCCCTGAACGAACCAACAGCAGCCGGTCGAGCTGGAGTGGACACGTTATTTACGACCTTAAAACCTTTTCTATTGTAAACAACTTAACTTCGACACAATGGGATAATTTTATGATAGTCATATAATCTTATAGCTTTTGGAGTACTTTACATAGATTTGTACATAATGAACACACACAAAGAAGCTGTACCTTTTACCTTAGTGACAAATTCGAAAGTTTTACCAAAATTGTAACGTTAATTTAATATTGTTATTAATTAACTTTTTTAAATACTTATGTGTAATTATTTCTTTATTATACATATGTATAACAATTCATAAAGTGTGGCTTAAAATTCAACTTTAAATTGATTGTGGACGAATAATATATTTGTGTATAAGGGCATCAGAATTGAAAACTGGTACTGTGAATTTTTATCTAGTTTTTTTTATAAATTAAGTTATTTTATTCTTAGCTTTTTTTATACCAAATAAAAAATGTCGTATCTAAAGTTTTCAAAATTAGTCCAGTCATTTTAGCATAAAAAAGGGATCAACCTCGGAATGAGAGATAATGAGCTGGATTTTTGTATACACCTTAATTTTGGCCTTTAAAAATTGTCTCAAAAGTCTCATAAAATCTCGTGTCTGCGTAGTAAGTTATTCAAGGTCAAAGGTCAAGAAAAACAGTTTTTTGCGATTATCTCACTTTCTATTGCTCCAATGATGTTAACATTTAGCATCATAATTGTAGAGCACAAAATTTGGGACAAATTTTATTTGAAACATTTTTTCATGCGCTCAATCGTTTTTAAGATAGAGGGTAATGAGGGCTCGTCCATACGTACTGTAATGCAATCAACCGTGAATATCTGTGAATACTACCTTGAATTTTGAATAATTTGTATTTTTAATCAATTAATACATTGTATTTAATAACATTTTACATATTTTCAATATATTCATAGAATAATACTTACCTAATTTGTGTAATTAAAAACTCATTTAATGAAATATTTATTGTATATCTCAATTTATTTATATCTTTAAAATGTGTAAGTTTTTAAAGGGTCGTAATTAATTGTGCATTATTTTTAATACTTTGTGCATTAAATTTTATACTGTGCGCAATAACATTTGTGCATTAAATTTACTATGTTGCGCCATAAGTTTTTGCATTTTGTGCATTCTATTAAGTGCAAATTGGAATAATAAAATTATTGTTTTGGGCAATGATTTTCTGTACTGCGTGCATTATTGAAACTGTATTGAAAATAACAAACAAAAATAGACCTGCTGTATTAAAATGTGTTTTATGAATGCATACAAAATTAACAAAAACATAAGATATTCATAGCAAAAAAGTAGCTAAACAAATTAAAAGTTTGGAAAAAATTAAAAAAGAAACTTAAAAAAAACATTCTTTCATCAAAAAACTCAATTACTAAACATTATTAATTTATTGAATAATAATTAATGCTTTTTTGGCTT